ATCAGGTACTCCAGGCAAGCACCAGTGGCTGCAATCTTGAGATGTCTCGGCAGATTTCCATTCTGCTTCTGATTGATATTTCTTTCTGTATATAGAAGGATGCCCATCTTTTCTGTAATCTGTAAGCCTAGTTATGTTCATATAAGTCACTGAACTTCCCATTTTCTGGATCACTTGCTCCACCACTCTCATTTTCGCGGGATATTCTTGCAAATACGTCTCGTTGAATATCGGCTCGCTTTCTCTGTGACACTGTCCTCCTGAATTCCATTGCCCACCACTGCAAATTAACCCTACCAGACTGTTAAAGAGTATAACTTTGAAAAGGATGTTTCAGCTGAACTATCACTAATATGCCCCATAGAATTTCATATCATGTCAGATTTGAAGCCTTTTCCTGCTGAGGAATGAAACCAATAAAAAATATAACAGAGAATCAAGCATCAGTTAGAACTGAACTTGTGTGGTATTTTTAGGGACCTAAACCTGGGTTTGGTCCTCTATTGTTGGACCAAGTCTCAGACTGGTTTATAATTGATTTTTGTTCTTCATTTGGTGCCTTGTGATTTCAAATGTATCGAAACTTTTGAATTGCCCTAAAAAACACTTAAGTATATATGCTGGTGTACCTAGAGATAATTCACCAGTAGTATGACCCAGAAAACGTGCAATATCACTAGATTCGTCAGCACAATTAAGGGTATTCAACTAAGATGTTCCATAATCTGTCAGCGAATTAAGTTTTCAACAAAATAGCCTATGAATTTTCATCAGCACAATCGGATTCAGTATATGGCAGTCAACTGACGCATAATTGAACTTTCTGGTTTTTTTTTGGGGGGGGGGGGTTGCAAAGTAAGTAACAGTAACAGAAATACCTGAAATGAGACTGAGAGTATCCTCGAAAGAAAACCTGAGTTCGATTGGCATTGATGTTTCTATCAACCCACCGAGCCCACGTGGTCAAGGCCTTCCTATATGCAACCAAAGCATCAAGCTTTGGGTGTACATGTTTTCCTTCTTGGTAATACTCCTCTCTGTGACAACAAAAACAACCAAACAAAGGCTTAGTTCCAAATGTCTATGAGCAGAAAATTTTACTGTGTTTTTAAGGGAACAGATTAAGGAAAGGCTGAATCAGGCTCACCCCCGAGATGTTTTCTCATGGGTCCACCAATGGCCTGTGTTGAAGACGATGATATCAGCATCATAGGACGTTTCAGCTGTCTTGTCCATCAAATCCAACCTTAATGTCTCAAAGGTTCCATTTTTGCCTCTGAAACTTGATTCCCGAACGATGAATGGTGACACAATAAAGTCCACCTGAACAATTATAGTCCTATATTAATGTTGCAGCAAGCATACATGAGATAAAGCATTGCAAGATTCAAACTTTGAAACGTGCCATAGTGGTAATATTGGAAGAAACTTACCTCAAATCTAAATGAATAGACACCTTTCTTCTTGAAATCTGTCCTTCCTGAGATCTCATAGACTCTCTTCTTGTCCCTTATGGTCTGTCGGAAAATACACACCATCGACTCCCACATGTTCCTGTTCAGTGAATCCCCCACATAAACCAGCCTCTGACCTCGCAGCCTCCTCAGAAAATCAGTAGCATTCAATCTGATGCATCATTGTCATTTAAAAACACACCAGAAAATATCACAGTTCCCCATGACCATAGGAAAAAACATCTTACCTTGGAATGTCACAGCCATTGGGTTGCCATCTCCACTTGACATAGTCTCTATCTGGCCTCCCATGAAGATGACAATCGAAGGATTTATCAATGTGTGGACAAGAACCTAAGGCATAAAGTGGTTTCGAATCATCTTTCACCCACTTTCCGTCAAAGATATCACAGTCTTTATATAAACCAATCTTCATCTTCGCTGTTTTGGAATCCCCATGATGAGTCAAACTCGCATTACTCTTCTGAATCAAGTCTCCTTCATGCTTTTCCTGAGAGAAATTACCTACATTGTGAACTTTATAACTAAAACTGGAATTCTGCAGGGACACTACCGCCACACTTCCATGGGTTATATTCGCAGTGTTTCTGTCTTCTTCACCCGAAAAGCATTTATCTTTGACTATCTCTGATGAGTTCCTCTGGACAGTAGAGTCCGAAAAAGTGACCACCGTGCGATTATGTTCACGGATTTTCTTCTGAAAACTCTGGTCCCCGACATGCAAGCTTGCATTTTTAATATTCTCAATAGAACCATTCAAGATGGTCGCATATTGTATTCCGGACACATTTGCTGCCGCAGTTTTGTCCCCAGAAGAAGAAGAAGACGACGACGACACAGGACTATGAAAGAACTTAAACTTAGAAACAGAGAAGGAATTATTGGGTAAGAGCAGAGGAAAGATTAAAAGATAAAGAGCAACTAGTAAACTAAAGGAAAGCAGCTTCTTTCTGGGTGTGAAGATCGTTTCTGATGATAATGCAAGCCTCTTCAACCCCAACATCGCCGACAAACAAGCCCACCACATGCATGCTTCGCTTGAGGAATAAAAATCACAGAGCAATCCCTTGTCGTTTTAAAAGGAAAAAAAGAGACAATGGTTTAAGGTCTGTGGAACAGGCTTCTACGGATGAGAGGCACCGAGAAAGAAACAGACAGAATAAAGAAGGGAGAGAAATGCTCAAATGCACACCACAGCCTCATGTGGTATTTACAAAACGACCTCTTTCTCATTCACAATTTCACAGCGCCACTGAACTCCTAAACATCATCAAATCCATCGAACTGTAACTTTGTCGTTAATATGCTTGGGTTCTTCTGATGGTGAGAGGCTTTTCAGTAAAACCTCCTTCGCTGGTAAATGATTTCAAGTTTCTTAGATATGGAATCATCATAAATAATCGGTTCTTTTAAAATTCGAACTTTAATGAACCTGTGATCACAGAGAGAGAAGAGATCGTGCAGAGTATAAATAAAAATCAAATAGCATCAATCAAGATGTTATATTTTAACCAAAGAAGTGGATAACGTGATTGATAATTTATTTTTATACTAGGCTTTAACTTGAAAATGTTTTAAGGAATAAACCTAAATTTAAGATAACACTGTAAAAGTAACACAGTGATAGGTAGGGTATAAAATTATAAAAATGTTGTTATTCATATTCTGTATCCATTCTATTTTTTGTATTGCTTGTTGGCTTTTCTTTGTAGAGGTTTTGTTTTATTTGATTGAATTAACATTCCACTTTCCCACAAAAGGTGAAAAGGAGAGTCACATGATTAATTAAGCATGAAGACTTAGAATTACTGATGTCCTATCCTTGCTCTGGTTATTATTATTATTATTATTATTTTTTTTTAAAAAGGTCCTATCCTTGCTTAAATGGGAATACCGTTGAAAATAGGGGAGGGGTATTTTGGTAATTTCAGGAATGGAACCAGCGGATCCCATTAACTGTCACCAACAAACCTAATAAGGAAAACAATATTTTTTACAAAAAGATGGGGGGCAGAGAAAGATGCGGATGAGGTGACACGTGGCGATCGCAGAAGAGCACAAATATTCATAGGGATGTCGCCGGGAAGGAGTGGATCGACGTGGTGGAATTCCGGGTGGGCGTCAAACGGTGTTGGCGCCACCCATCACATAAGAACGCCTGATGATTACACGTGTCCTTCTTAAAAAGTGGTGAGCGTCATGATGTAATTTCTGGTCGCTCCCAGCACGCACCTAAACTTTTCTCCTCAAGTCCTGGCTTTTGCATTTTATAGCTCCAGGGTCGCGTCACAGGATAATTTAGAAGATATTTAGATAGAAATCAAATTATAATTTTAAAAGTAATTTTACTATCTACGAAATAAATATATGAAAAAATTTATCTTGATTTACAAAAAAAGTGTTTTTAAGAAACACTTTTCAAGTATCCGAACACTCCTACATCTCAACCTACAAATCAATGCTTAAAATAAATACAGTAAAGTGGACTGAAGTATTCGTATAACCCATTGTTTTTTTGAAAATAACTAGTGGATAAAAAGATACCTACAAATTATTAAAATAATAAATAATTCGAAAATAGAAATTAAAAAATAAATTAATTATTCAACATATATATTAGTAATTATTTTGGAATATGATGATAAATCTTCTCAAAATTTATAATTGCAATTCATTAAAGATAATTCTAATATTTGATATCCTTATTAAAAAGATTATAGAATATGAAGCAAACATGCAAATTTAGTCATCTAATTTTACACAAACTTTCGAATACGATTGCCTAGGGGAAAAAACTTTACACAAAGTTTTAACTTAATCTTCTAATCTTAGAAAAACCTTTTGAGTTTAGTAATTCTAATACTATTAGCCTCAAGTGATAATTTTTTAAAAATTGAATTTAACATGTTAGCGTTTATGTATGTATTTTGAAAATTTTAAATTTTAATATCAATATTTTCATTGATAAAACCAACGATGTTATGATTAGTAGAGGGAACTAACAAGACATCGTGAAGTGAACGAAATAAATGTCAAATTCTCTGATTCATGTGGCAGAGGGCCAGAGGCAGAGGCAGACATTGTTGCAGTGATGCGGTTAGGTGCGGCCACACGACGTCGTAAGCGTGCAGAATGACATTATGATGAGCAGAATCCCAGGGCAGTTTGCCCTGCCTGCTCCTGCCATATAGAGCCATGCCTTTCACCATTGTCCATTGCCTACCACAAAAATCACAAATCACAAGCCGAAGTGACATTTTTGCATATTGGGCCTTCACTCTCGGCCCAATTATGCGGGTTGACATGTAGAGAGACCAGGCAAGTTACTGGGCCTAAAACTCTGAATTTCATCAATTGGGCTGATCTGAACATTTTTTTCCTGACTTGTGTTTGGGCCCAGCAGATCTTATTATTTTGCTTGGACCCAGATTCTTATATAATTCGTTTAAAACCCCCATGATTACATTAAATTTCATATGGGCCCACATGGGACTTGCAGTTTTGACGAACTAAATATCATCCAAATCAACCATAATTTAAAATCAAATTAATAATTTAGACCAAATCACTCATCACTTGGTCAAAACTAATAAAGTTTTATGTTCACAAGCTATCTGGGTATATGAGATTGTTTAGGCCCCAGGATAACAAAAAGGAGCCATGAGCGGCAGCTATGTACAATTCTTCAGACACTGACTGGAAAAATTTGTCGACCCAAGCACATGGGGCCCTCCAACAAAGAAGAAAAATAATTATACATGATTTTCCCTTTTCCTTTTACACATGAATCCCAGCATACTCCCCAGGCAAATGACGCGTTACGCCATTTTCTCAACAGTGAAAAACCAAGATGGTTGTTCTCAGTTCTTACCTAGGGCCCGAAAGCTCCATGGCTTCAAGTATGAGTGAAGATTCTTCTATATAATCTGAGTACCGTTGAGGAGGGTTTTCAAAAGACCTGAACCTTGTCTCTGTACTCTGTGAAGCTTCCTCCCACCTCTCAGCCAAGCCATCTCCCTCCAACATCTTCAAAACTTCTGACATCTTAGGTCTGTGCAGAGGATTAAATTGCGTACATAACAGAGCAACCTGAACCATTTCTCCCAGTTCATCTGCATCAAAGTTTCCCCTCAAATTTTTGTCAACCATCTGACTCAATCTTCCTTCTTGATGGAGCTTCTTAACCTGGAAGTTAGTTGCTTTACATTAAACTCTAGGATAGTGATTGAAGATGGTCATTTACAAAGAAAACTTGTCTTCAAGACTCAATTCATAGGGAAGAGAAAACTACCCCTTTTACCCCTAATTCCCATGTACCATCTTGTTTGACCTGAAATAAGTTTGTCAAAATATGGTTCGAAGTGTCAACCCACCCATAGTGTTTGTTTTATTAAAATATTATAAAAACAAACATAGGATTAAATGACTAAACTGGGTTCTCCACTCCTTCCTACTCCACTATTCTCTACATTTCATCTTTTTGAGTCATCCACATCAAATTTAGACAATTCGAAACAAACAATTAGTTTTCGGCATTTTTATTGGTTCTAAAGTATGCATTACACCATGAAAACAGTTATCTTAACAGCCAGTTTTTGAAGAAAAAAATATTGATGAGATGTCAAACTCAACAAATCGAGTCTTATTGGTTTCTGATTGATTCGAACGACTAAAAGGCTGAAGAGCAGAAGAATAGTGAACCTGATTTGGAAAAATAACATGTTTTAAACCAAGGGACAAATTGATCTCCAACCACGTTAGGAGTAAACTGTAATTTATCCATCACTAAAAGTTATTTAGCTGTCACATGCAATAGAGACAGTGTTTAGAATGCTAACGAATCTTCTTTATCTGTTGCTGGAAATAGATGTCCTTACAGGATTCCTAACAGTTTTATGTGCTAAAACTAGAGAGGATTATAGGGAAGGAGAGTTACCCAATCAAGCATTACACCTTTCTGGTTTGCTGCTCGTCCAAAATCTAAAGCCTTATGACCTGTGATCAGCTCGAGCAGCAAGATCCCAAAACCAAACACATCAGTCTTTTCTGATGACTGGCCTGTAGACAAATATTCTGGAGCAATGTGACCAACAGTGCCTCGCACAGCAGTAGTTACATGAGAGTCTCTGTGATCCAGAAGCTTTGCCAGACCGAAATCACCAACAACTGCTTCAAAGTCTTCATCCAACAATATGTTGGCTGCTTTTACATCACGATGAATGATTTTAGGGTCACACTGCTCATGCAAGTAAACCAACCCTCTTGCTGTACCCAGAGCTATTCTCTTCCTCCTCACCCAATCTAAGGCTGGTCGACCATGAATATGATCTGTAACAACAGCCAATGATGATAATTAGTAATAAAAAAACAATGGCCTTGACTCTTGAAGAGAAATTGCAAGCTGCTTTAAAATGGCAGCTTAGCAAACAGCGAAAGATTGCCATTGTTCTGTCTAAATAGCAGGTCACCAAAAACAGGAAGCTCCAAGGAAGCCTATCAGAATATATATATATATATATATATATATTTATATATATATTTCCCATTATGTTTTAGCTTGTGAAGATAACTTGTATGAATTTGTCCATGCTATTAAGGAGCACATTAGAATATTAATAATATGGAAAATAGAAACGAGGGAATATGAATTGTGCATTGCTCACAAGCAGCACTATATCAGACAATAATTTATCATCCTACTGCTTGGTCTAGTGACAAGGGATAAGTGCGTCACAAGGAAGTGATGATAAAATTTCCATTGAACTTACCTTTTAATCGGGAGGCGACGCTGCCATTAGGCATATATGGATAAACAAGGAGCCTTTCGTTTTCAGTACTGCAAAACCCACAAAGCCTCAAGAGATTCCGGTGAACAGCCAAACTTATGGTCTCAACTTCTGTTTGAAATTGGATCTCACCACCACCAGCATTATAGTCCTTCAACCTTTTAACTGCTACAACAGAACCATCATTGAAGCGCCCTTTGTAGACTATTCCAAAGCCACCCCGTCCAAGAATATTCTTTGAATTGAAATGATCTGTTGCAGCCCGAAGTTCTTTGAATGTATATCTTCTCAAATGGCCAAGGCGCACCTCTGGATCATATTGCTCTGCCAAGTTATAAGCATTTGCTGATAAGCATTACAAGCAGAGCCAGAAAAACAAATCGTATATGTCGACTGCCAAAGGTTTAAAGCCAGTATCACAAAGAGAAAGTGTTAGAAATATGAATTCTATAATGCTTGATGTGGGAAGACCTGCTATTAGTGGCTTGTAAGAGAGAGCTATTATATATATAGATGAAATCTTCCTCAGAAAAGGGAGGGCAGAGACTAACCATTAACATCAAAGAATATCTGTTTGTTGTGTTTGTACCGCAACCAAACAATAAACACAGCAATAATCACAATGACAAAAGCAACTCCAAAACTTGCTCCAAAAGCAACTGCAACATGATGACTCTTTGCTCCAGATGCTGATTGGCCTAGGTAACCAAAATACCAACACCAAAATGTGATGGAATTGCTAAAGAAATTTTTGACAAATATAGATACTATCATTACCTCTTAAAGAATCTGGTGGGAAGGAAAGTGGTTCCGGCAGAACATTAGAGCAGTTATTTTTAGCATTTGGACCACAAATCAAAGAGTTTCCCACAATCCTGGAAGTGCAAAATAAAGCAAGAGATTTACAAAACTCCTTTGTTATGAATTAGTAGGAACGAAAACAAAATACAGAAATGAGCATACTTGAATGTTCTTGCTGATATTCTTGGCAACGAACCGCTTAGATTGTTATAAGAGAGATCCCTATATGGATTTTTTTAGTTATATTAGTTTTGATGTGCCAAGTGTATTGGAGAACTAATGTTATAAATTTGTCCCAAATGTCTGAATATAAGAACAAGTAAAAATGACGCTAATTGTAGAAAAAGTAATGGGAGTGATATGGAAATAAAGACCTACACAAGTGTTAGACCTTCAATGTCGCCAAGAGACTGAGGGCAGGATCCTGAAAGGCTGTTATTATTCAACCGCCTAGAATGCTCAAATGACAGTTCAGTGTAAGAGAGTTTCAGAAGAGGAATTTAAGAATCAAACACATAATTTTTGAATCACGCTAACATCTGTATGATAGAAATGTTTTTGAAACTTACAGATAATGCAGGTTCTTCAGGCTCCCCAAAGAACTAGGTATCCCACCGCTAAATGTATTATTGGAAAGATCAAGTGTCTGAAGCTTTACCAGATTTCCTAAAGCAGCAGGAATTGAACCAGAAATGGCATTGTTCTGAAGTAACCTGCACAATTTACAAAAATGTCTCAATCTTCAAAGTTATTTTTATGTTCTTAGAAGCCGAAGCAATATGCATGAGTCCAAGTAAGGGTAAGTTTGAAAAAGCGGTGAAGAAACAGATAAGAAGCTATGCATTAATGCCAAACCCAAGCAACAATGACAACAGAACCAAGATACCAAAAAACCTTGTGAACTTAGATAGGAACTTACACAGATTGCAAGTTAGTCAGATTGCCAATCCCAGGAGATAGCTTACCTGACAAGTTCTGACTGGGCAATCCTCTGATAAGGAAAAAAACAACCATTTAAGTGAAAAAAAACCAAACTGAAAAACAAATGAACGAACTTGAGTCTTCACAGATCAAAATGTCCAGGAACAAGTTTGCCTCTTTGAAAACATATTGAAGCCTAAGAAGCTTACAAAGCAGAGACGGAGCCATCTGGGGTACAAGTAATCATCCTCCAGCTACAAGGATCGACAGAATTAATATCCCAACTCTCCAGGACATTGTGTGGATCACGCAATTCATTTTTTATGGCCATCAGAGCGACAACTGCTCAAGGAACAACATTAAAGGGTTAGAGCTTTTGTATGAGATTCCTCTTTCCGTTTTCAGCGGACATCAAGAAGGAAAAAAATAAAAAAAGAGAGTCAGATTTAAGGTCTTTATATAGAGTACAAATTCTTCAGAAAACAAAAACCAAAAGAAGAAAAAACAGTTAAAAGATTATGTCAACTTTAATGTTCTTGCTGCTGCGGCCAGTAAATTCTAGCATATATAAAGGTCAACATGTTCAACTATCCCCCTTTCCATATCAGATTATAATCTTTCTATTTATAAGTTATACTAATTATAAAGATAAACAGCATAGGAAAATTCCAAGAGAAAATACAACCTTCATAATTTATCCCAGAAGAAGAAAGCGCGGCAGAGGAAATCTCCATCAAAGCCGGAAACAGCAAAGCCAGAAGCCAGAAAACTGAACTAGTCGTTCCCATAGCTCTATATTCTTGCTTCAGAAACTCCTTCCCTTTATTCCTTCACGCAGCTAGTTCATAATTAGCAATTTGACAAGCCATTCTGACCAGAGAGCAAGTGTGCATATTGCCTTATCCGAACAAAAAGCCACTCTCGGAATCAGATGCCCATAAAGCAAAGCCCACGATTGCCGAAACAAGAACGTCGCGCAATGACCATCAAACCAGCTCGGAAAAGAATTCGAACTGAGAGGAATGAACAAAACTTTCCAGAGAAAGAACCAAGCTAATTCAAGCCTGAAATTCAAATATCCTTGAGATCTGAGACTTCCGGGCCTGATTCCTACCTTCTACAGGTTTTGGTTTTTAGCTCTGGTCTGCTAGTTGCCAGTGATTCCGCCACCCCCATTATCTTGTTTCCTTTTGCAGACCCCAGAATAAAAAGAGCATGAAATGAAACTCTCACTCATTCTCACTCATTCACTACCCCTAGAGAGAAGTTAGAATCAAAAGCACAAAGGCCAAAGGAACACGCCAAAGTCCACACAGAGACAGATGAAAAACCAGTAACGAAACTCTTAAAATTTACCACTTGAGAGAAGATGGTACAATACATAATTATAAAAGGTAATCTCTCTTTTTTCCCCCTTTTCTTGTTGCGGTGATTGGACTGAAGGAATGTGGGGGATTGATCAGACGGAGAGAGAAAGAGGAAACAATGGGCACTGTCTAATGCGAAACAAAATTTTGCAGGTAAGCTTTTGACAGGTCACGTGGTTCGGTTGTCTCCGTCTTTGGTTGCTTTCAGCTTCATTTCAAAAATTCTGTAAAAATTAGACGAGACGTGGGTCGTGCTCGTGCGCGCCTATGCAAATTATTTGTAACCCAATTTATATTATTCATTTATATTTATAATTTAATAGATTATTAATTAATTAAATTTGTTGCTTGTTCATAACTTCATATTCAAAATTTATAGGTATATTAAAATAGGTTATTAGTTGGCAAAAAAATTAACCGGTTATTGAGAAAAATAAAGCTATACCTTTTTTTTTAATAACCCTTTGGGTCACCAATTATCCAGTGTTTTTTCTAATTCTGTTAATAGATATCTGAACAACCAACTAATTTAGATCGAGATTTGCAAAACCTTTGGACTCTTCCAACAAATTTTAGCATACTTACGTCCTTAGAACTTAAACACAAAATTACTAGTTAAGTTGGATGAACTCCTTATCAAGCATTTGTTGATTAAAACCATACTACTATTTCTGATTTTAATGATAAAATATTATTTATAATTTATAAATAAAATTTTATGATTAAAATCGTATTACTGCACAAGTAAAAAAAAAAAATTATAACAGTCACATTCTGCAAAAGTCAGGAGTGGCGCTAAAATGCACCAGCACGTGCCTTAATATAATACTTCCTCAGTTTCATATTTTTATAGAAACTGGAATTGTTTTGAAGTTAATTTAAAAGTGAGCATTTTTAATATAACTATAAATATTTTTTTTGGCCAATTAATATAAATATCCTTGACTATTCAAACATAGGCCTTCAAAGTATCATCTGATTCATTAAACTACTTAAATATTTGAATTTATATAATCAATATTCTTATTTTATAATGAAGTTTGTGTGAATATTTATAAGATGATAGTATGGGAGTTATTCAATTTTTGCCAGCGGAAGGAAAATTCATTATATGAAAAGAAATACAACTACTAATACAGACTTTGAAAGACCGGAGACTCAACTAAGGACTAGTAACGTATCACTAGCAACAAGATGACAAATAGAGACTCAAACCAGTAAGGCCAAAAGAAACCTACATCTTGAAGGACGAAGGTGAATAGGTCAGCTTTCATTCTACCATGATCAAAAGAAAAAGCATAGAACAAGCTCCATTGAGCAGCAAATGGTGATGGTGATTGTTCAAAGACAAGCTCTAAAGAGCACACCCCTTTTAGTGCCAAGGTTGCAAAACCAGATATAGCACCAAATATGCCTCCTAAAACAGAGAGGTAAGGGAACATCTTGAGATCGTGAACAACCTCTGATCATGGTAAAATACAACCAACACCAAAAGACTCCCATAAGCACAAAAGAACAAGAAAAACACAAAGTATACTCCTAATAACTACTCCCTCCGTTCCATGTAAAAAGTACTCCTCCGGTCCTTATTATAAGACCCAATTTGACTTTTTATTTGGTCCTAATTATAAGACCCAATCCATTTTTTCTTTTATATTTATGTATTTTTTTCCAAGATAATCCTTCTAATAATGATAGTTTTAGCCAATATACTTAATTAGCAAGGATATTTTAGGAATAACAACACTTATTTATTATAAATAACCAACTTAACTTACTTCCTTAATCTCCTCAAATAAGTCAATTGGGTCTTATAATTAGGACCGGAGGAGTATAATATTTTTTCCAACAATGCCCCCATTAATAAGGAGAGAGAGTATGAGAGAGAACAATTAAATTATTAAAAAAAAGAGAAGTGGGAGGGAAAGAAAGTATGAGTTTGAGACAAAATAAATAAGAGTAAAATAGGAAATCAATACAAAAAAATAGAGACAACTTTTAAGTGTCTCTTATATATAAGAACATGCCATAAACATTAAATGTCTCTTATAATAAGGAACGGAGGGAGTAATAAGGACAACCAATACTCCATATACTCTATCGAAAGTCCCCCCAAACCTTAGTAGAATCGAACAAAATCCTTCATAGAGCAAAAAGGGTTGGAAGCCAACCCCCAAAATTCAGGAAAAGAGAAGCCAAAGAACTTTCCAGAACCACGGACCTCCCTAAAAAAGCTTCCTTTAGTTCCGCTTGTCGACAAATGATTTGCCACACGAGAAAAAAAAAAATTAAATGCAGATATAATATAAGTTAGGCAACAAGTTTTAAAGTACATTATTGTATATAATCCAAATCATTTTTTATACTTATATTAGGCCCTTTTTATATTAAATGCTTCGCTTTTAAGTTAATAATATGGTAAGTGGCAATTAAACATCTAATGCAAAGTCGAAGCCACGGGACTTGTACGGACGGACACAAAAAATGACCTGGCTTCTTGCGTCGTGAATGTGATGGAAGAGATTGTTCTGTGTTTGCGATCATTTTAAATTATTATTTAATTTATTGATGTCATTTTTTATTTGAACACAAATTATAAATTTGCCAGAGCGAGACCTCTGGTTTCTTTTCCAGGGAATGACTGCTGCGTATCCTTTATTTAAATATACTCGTACTATGTATCTTAAAATAAGACTTAGTTGGGAATTAAATAAAATCTCAATCTATTTTATTCTCACATTTATTATCTTTTATTCAAATAATATTTACTGGTTATATATATTAAAAAGTTTACATTAAAAAGTTGTTTCGATACCAATGATTTAATTGGATATTTTAAGAAAATTAACATACATGTTTAACAAACAAACAATTAAATTAATTTTTTTACCTATCCAAATTAATTAAATAAATAAATACTATATTAAGAATCTGTACTATATATATTACCTTTTATTTTTATCAGTTTTTTTACCAGAATTATTTTTATCAATTTTATACTATAATATAACAGAATGTTATAATTAAAAAATGTGAAGCCAAATGCACTTTTGTATATGTGAAATCACAACAATGGTGAAAAAAAATTAGAAAATTCTATTAAAGAGAAGTACCAATAAAAATTTGTTAGATCATTTTTAATAATAAAACATATTTAAATTTTGAGTAATCCTGAGAGAGATAGGGGGAGAAATGCTAAAATGCGCCGGGAATGGAGGGAGAGAGAAATTGTGCATCGGATGCCGCGAAGTAGAATCTGGCTGATGCATCGGGAGGCCGCAGCCCATGCCTTGGCCTACGTCGCTGTTTCCCACGCTCTCCCTCTTCATTTGCATTCGACTTTTTGTTTTTTTTTATTCTCCAGTTAAAGTAACACAGACCCGTTCGTGTAAAGGTAAAAATAAGCCAGACGACCACCTGATTTGTTTTTTTAAAAGAAAACACCTCATACCTGTTTAGGCTTGTTTAAATTAACAGGTTAGGTTTAGGCCTTCTAAAAGGCTTGTTGAGCCTGATAGGCCGGTTTGAATCTATTAGAAATTTATAATTATAATATATAAAAAAATTAGTTAATAGTATTATTAATGTGTTCTTTTAATTTATTTTTAAATTTCAATATATAGCTAATAGCTTAGTCTTTTCTTAGATTTTGAAATTTAATTGACAAGTAAAGATAAAAATATAATTTAAAATAAAAATATCAATAAATAATATGATCTTTAAATCTTAAAAATATAACTAAAATAGGAAAGAAAAATCTTATTCCAAGAATGATAGATTAATTAACTTATGTATTATGTTAATTAAATTATGATACTCTCTTTATTCATTGTAAAATTAATAGTTTTTTCTCTTTATTTATTGATCTTAATTTTTTTTGGGGTATTTAAACATAGTTTTGTCCCAAATTTCAACATACAATTAAAACTAGTTTTCAATAATATCCTTGTAAATTGTAATTAAGATTTAAAACAATCCTTACGATACTAAAATTTAAATAAAAGACAAGACTAAAAAATTAATTATTATGTATGCTTTTTTTAATTTTAGCTTTTTTCTAAAAAAAATTATTACAATTTAAATTTTTTAAAAATACAGACTTTTTAACATGTTTCAGGCTAGGCTCAGGTTGAAGGATAAGCCTGTAACAGGCCATAAGCCAAGCTTAGGCCTATAGGCTACAAAATAGGCCTAGCCTGTTAAGAGTAAGACCTGGCCTGGCCTGTTTCCGCCCTCACTTTCGTGAGAGTTAATTATTCATAATTACTCTTTTGATCTTACTTAGTACTCCTCAAGTCCTATTTATAAGGTACTTCTAATATATTTTATACAGACTAAGAAAAACCTTAAACTGTATTAACTTTTCATTAAAATATAACAACTTTCCAATTTTACTCCTATTTAATAAATACTCTTTTTAAAAAAAACTATCTGCACTATAATAAATAAAGGATAATATAGTACATTCATGATAAAAATTTAATGAAGTGACTTATAAATAGGACAAAAACAAACCTTCTCTCTCTGCCCTATAAATAGGACCAGAGGAGTATATGGTATAAAGAAAAAAAATTTTAGTCTTATTTATGGAATACTAAAAAAAAATGTATATAGATGTATAATTTTATTATTTAAGAAAAATTAATCTTTTAGTTCTTGAAGTTTTGACTCACTTAAAACTCAGTCCCTGAAAGTTTAACTCGCTTAAAACTCAGTTCTTCATTTTTTTATTTTTAATAATTTTTTCTTATTATCTATAATCCATGCCAAGTCATCACTGAGTCATCCTACATGAAAAAAAAATGCAGTTATAAATTCTTTTATGGATTTCCAGCTCAGCTCTCCACGTGAATTTGACAAAACAGATGGAAAAAATAAAAAATAAAGCTTCATATTTACTATGAGCTTGGATTGGAGATGAAGTACGAACGGCGACCTCACTCTCCCTCACTCACCTGCTCTCATCAATCATCCTCAACACCATCCTGTATAGATCGATGAACGTGAATGTGTCGGAGTTGCAGTTGTCTCTTGAAACTCCCTTGTTGTTGTTGCTTTCAATATGATTAGTTTGTGAGCTTGCAGTAAACGATATAGGATTGGGATGGATCTTTCTCAGCAT